AACTGTGACTCTTCGGTCCGAAGTAGTCAGATTTAGTCAGAGAATTTTTGCCGGCATAATCTTGAAAAGTGTCAAACTCAACTGAATTGAAATTAACGGAAATTGATGAGTACACGAAAAGTGAGAATAGNTGAAATTAACGGAAATTGATGAGTACACGAAAAGTGAGAATAGTCTAAAAACTAAAAAGAGTGAATTAAAAATGGAAGGGGGCAAAAAATAATTGATATAGTAAGTGTTTATTGTGTCTGTGCTTGTGTGAATGTGTTTTGTACATACATTTCTATTCTTAGAGCCCAGTTGTGCATACTTGCACTGCTATACCATTTTTACGTAAAAGTCAAAACCCAACCGAATTCTACATGTTAAGTGCTATGCGTTGGGTAACCGCTTACACGCAAAACCTATTTAACAGATANTAAAAATGGAAGGGGGCAAAAAATAATTGATATAGTAAGTGTTTATTGTGTCTGTGCTTGTGTGAATGTGTTTTGTACATACATTTCTATTCTTAGAGCCCAGTTGTGCATACTTGCACTGCTATACCATTTTTACGTAAAAGTCAAAACCCAACCGAATTCTACATGTTAAGTGCTATGCGTTGGGTAACCGCTTACACGCAAAACCTATTTAACAGATACTTATGTGACAACTCTCATGCAACGCTAAGTATGCATAACTGGGCTATTATTTGACATAAGTTTTGTTGTTGCCATTCTTTGGACTAAAGGCTCCGTTATGCATACTTGGCATTGCTTGAGAGTTGTCACATAAGGAATCTGTTAAATGAGCTTCGCGTGAAATCGGTTACCGAACGCACAGCATTACATACGTAAAAGTCTGTTGGTTTTTGATTTCTACGTAAAAATGGTATAGCAGTGCATGCAATGCCAAGTATGCATAACAGAGCCTTTAAATTTTGGTTTTTTGTGTTCCTTTACTTTTTCCTGTTATTCTCTTCTAGTGAGCGCATTTTGCGTATGCTCGTGCATTTTGACACTTTAGATTTTAGTCAGAAAATATAAGAAGTGGACCTAATGTCTGGTTAAAACTCGTGAACCGACAATACAAGATCACGCAAAAGCGCGACGTTGTATTTGTAACTGGGTTTGAGAAAAAAGATTGCGAAAGCGGGTTCGTCAGTTGAGCATTTGTTTAGATCACAAGCAGCCCTACTTTACACCTCTCATTAAATAAAGAATCAGACTGCTTTATCGATATAACATGTGGTCGATAAAGCAATCGTTGTATTTAAGCGGAAATTCTACCTCCGATTAGTGCTAATCAGACATTGAACAACCGGTCCTAACTGCAGGTTAAACATCGTTATCGATGAGATGGCCTCCTAACATATAACAGGCAGTCGGTAACGTCGCTAACGATGTTTAACCAGTAGTTAGTGCTAATCAAACATTGAGTAACCGGCCCTAAAGCTTTTACGAACGATGGTTGTTGGAGCAGTTGCGAATCAGCCAAAGCTTTTCTACAATTGAGGCGTGTTTAGATTGTTGTCTTGATAGAATGAAAAACTTTTCTTAACATTCTCCTTTACCATATTATTGAGATAGTTAAACTTGGCCCGTCCTTTTAGGAAAAAGTAACTTTCCAACCTCTGCACTTCGCATGCAGCTCCAAACCA